TTTGCTGCGGGAGTGCAGTCACCTAGAAGAGGAAGAGCCCCTGCTGCGGGGGCCTGTAGCCGTAGGGTTTCAAAAACCTGTTCGCGGGGCACATGCTTTCTGCAAGGCGCAGGGCCTCAAAGTGCGGACCACGATGATCAGGCGCTGCCCTCTTCGCTCTTTGAGCCAAGGTCGGCCGTGGTCGGCCGTTCGCCGCGACAGGGGAGAGAGGCGACGGAGGGCGAGGGGGCGATCCACGTTGCGGCTCGGGCCGCCAGGAGACGGCAGGGGCATAAGCCTGCTTGCCATGCGTTGCCTGCGCTTTCGCAGCTAACCTTCCCCTCGCCGCAGAGCTGATTCCTCCGCACCTGAGGCCGTGGCCCCAGTGGCCAAGGGGCCCCAGGCTTCTTCAACACTTCACGATGTTGATACTCCTCGCCGGCTGGGCTGCCACGAGCAAAACAATGGTGCGAGTTTGCTTGCTGCTGTGAAGAAGGGGAGACGAGGAGACAGGTGGAACATGTTCTTCGCCAAAGCTAGAGGGAGGAAGAGGAAGGAAGAGGGAGGAGGAAGAGGAGGAGGAAGAGGAGGAGGAGGAGGACGTTCATCCTCAGTCTGTTAGGCCAGGAGAGTGCGAGAGGCAGAGAGAGAGAGGGAGAGCGACAGACAGATAGACAGACAGATAGGAGGCAAGAGGGAAGAAGGAGGAGGAGGAGGAGGCCCTTCTTGCAGACGGCCACGCAGACTGGGGCGACTGCATGGCGGCGGCGTCCTCGGACGCCATCTGGCAGGGCCTGCTCGATGCTGTCGCTGAGACGAAGACTGGGCCGTTGGCGTTCGTGGACGGCGGCCGCGCCGAGGCCAGGATCGAGAGCGCAGTGCGGGCGGATCGTCCGCGCCATGCGGGGGGCCGCGTGCCGCCACCGGGGGCACCTCCCGCACGGCCCGACGAAGACGGCCATCCTGGCCCGGGGTTCCCCCGACACCCGCCCCGTCGGCGGCGTCGGCTTCGTGGACGGGTACACGTGCCTCGTCGTCCACCTCTTGTCGCTTTGCCTCGTGTCGTCTTGTCTCGTCGCTCTGTCGCCTCCTCTCTCGTTTCCTGTCCTCCCGCTTTGTCGTTTCTGCGCTTTGGGCTCGTCGTTGCTTCCCCCTCGGCCTCGTTTTCCTCCCCTTCTCCCTCTTTCCCCCTCCGCCCTCCCTGAAAGCGAAGACAGAAAGAAGGAGCAAACAAAAAAAACGTGCCTCGTCGTCCACCGATCCGCTGGGCCGCCCACGCAGGCGCACCTCCAGGCCATGGAGCGGCAGCGCTCGCGGTGGGCCGGCGGCACATCCAGGCGATGGGTCACCTGGGCTTCGCCCTCGAGCTGAGCTTCGCCCTCACCGTGGGCACGCTCCCGAAGGTAACGCAAAGGACGGAGTTTTGCCTTCACGCGAAGGGCTCGGGGCGACCCTGGATCGCCTCCAGCAGCGGGGGGGCCAGGGGGGCCTCGGCGTCCGCGGCCCCATTCCGTGGGTCTTTTTCCTGCACCACATGGGGTACACCGTCCTGTGGGCCACGATGATGAAGGAGCGTCTCTACCCCCGCGTCCAGGCGGACCCCCGACATGGCCAAGCCCAGCGCGCCCTCGATCTGACGGAGCACGCCGAAGGCTCGAGGCAGCACGTCCGCCCGTTCTTGCGCCAGTGGGGCTCACCAGACGGGCCCGGGGCCCAGGCCCAGTACCGCCGCCGCGCGCGGGCGGCTGCGCTCCGGCACGAGCAGCCCTGGCGCGCGGGAGCCCCGCGCAGCGGGCGAAGCGGGGCTGGCGCCTCGCTCCGAGAGGTGCGCGCGCGGGCCCGCCTGCGCCACCAGGGGGGCACTCGGCGGCGACGCCAGGGGGGCCGCAGGGCTGGGCTGCTTCTGCGGCCCTCGCGGGTGCTCTTGGCTGAAGGCGCTCTACGAGTTCCCCGGCGGTGACTTTGGTCGCGTCCCTCCTCAGAGATCTCGCTTCCAGAGGCCCGCCGTCGGGGGGTTCGCTCAAGCGGGCGCCGCAGAGGATCGTGCCGCTAGGGGATTCGCACACCCCTTGTTGCACAGATTCCTGCACTCCCTCTGTGCACTCTCATACTGTACTGGCTTGTGCGTGTGCCCCTTGTTGTGCGGCGCCCTCTTGACAGTCTCGTGTTTCTGCTGATATGGTCACGCAGTTCTTGCCATATCTATCGAATGTCACGCCGTTCACATCCTTGCTCAAGCGGACATTACGGAGAATCCACTTGTCAGTTTATCGCCCGGTGGAGGTTGAGTTCTCGTTTCTTAGTTGCCTTGCGCCTGTTGTCGCAGTCGCCACCAATTGGAAGGCAACCCCGCCAGGGGACCCGCAGCCAGTTTAGATTCCTCTTCATTCTTCTTGTGGCCGCTGATATGTCGCATGATATGTCGCAGGATCTTGCTTTGCACGATGACGTTGAGGAAACTGTTTCGCATGATACTGTTTCGCGTGATGTTTATGTTCGTTCTTCTGTTGTGGCCGCTGAT